GAGGAGGAGATCATCAGGAGATCATCAGGAGGTCATCAGGAGATACTGAGCTCGACCCTGGTGATGCTACAGCCGTCCGTGTCCGGGAGTCCAAGACAGCACAGGTGTCCACACTCTCTCTGGGTGGGCAGGATGGCCCCCCGTCTCCCCCCATTACTCAGCGTGGTGCTAGTCAGCGCAGGCGTCTGTTAGCTGACGTAACAGAACTGGCGGTTAGCGTCTCCTCCGAGCGCGTTCAGCTGTACAGTGACGTTGTGTTAGCGTCAGTTTGTAAAGATGTGGTGGAGCTTCACAGAACTCAGAGGAAGAGTTCTGTGTTTACCTTCACCCTCCTAGAGCTGGTGGGGTCGTGTGATTGGGGGAGACAGAACCAGTGGGTGGAATTGGAAATGATTAAACTGGGGAGAAAATTGAGCAAAATATATAGAAAAAAGGCCTTAATTTACAGAGAACAATTGCAATTTAAATCACAATCACAATACGGGTCAGAAAAATCACAATTAGACATTTTCCCCAAAAAGTACAAGTGACTGAATCTTCAGGAGACGTTTCCGAGGAGATCAGATGTAAACTATAAGATAATCTGCTCGCATAAAGCCAAAGGAATGTTAGCAAGTCTGCAAATCAGGAGCTCAAAAACTGATTAAAAGCTACAGAGAAAATGTGACTCCTAACAACCACCTGGAAGAGCTGGTGGAGCCCAAAACTGGCCCCATCAGATAAACAGCACTTAAAGCTTTGAGACAGAGGAGATAGTCAAGCTGCTTCAGATCACCTCTTTTTGGTGCTACACAGAAGCAGGTTCTGTATAGAACCATATTCCTCACACTCTCCATTTTAGTTTTAGTTTTTCGGTGGTAAAAATATCTAACTGCAATTTTTCTGAGCAATATTGCATCATAAATGCTAAGGGATAAAGTAAAACTTAAACTTAAACCCAAGTTTCCAATTCTGTTTTTTTCCATTTGTCAATTAAACACTTCCCCAAACAGATTTTAGGCAGCTTAAGAAAAAGAGGAAAAGTTAGACTAAAATTCTCAGATGTTTTATGTAAGTGACCACAGGACTTTTTTCACCAACAAGCACATCTTTCAGACTTGCAGCTTGAACGCTGAGCGTTCAAAAATGTGTGATAACTGTGTAAATGCAATTTATGAGAGCGCAGTTTTCAAATCGCAAGAGCTGCAATTTTTTTAAATTATAGCCTACATTATCAAAAACATTAGGTTTTAAGAGGGGACCATTCACCTAATAACTATACTGCCTGTAATACTAACTAAACTACAGTTAGACCAATCAGAGCCAACCAAACCTCCATGTGTTGTGACATCACAACCATAACTTACTGCCTGTATGGCTCACAACATTAAGGGTCGAGCCTAAAGCCAGAAAAGGTGGATGTTCTGGTCTTCTTGGAGAAAAAACAGGTCTGAACCTCAATTTATTGGAAATAATCACAATTTAAATCGCAGTCGCAATATTAGCCAGAAAAATCGCAATTAGATATTTTCCCCACATCCTTCAGTCCCAGTAAATACCTGGTTTTTGCACACTGCACATGTGTGACCTCTCTGTGAGGCTGGTTAAGCCCACCCGTGGGGCAGGGTGTCGGGCCACGTTCGGCTGAATTGTTCCCAAACAGCTGGGGCTGGAAACCCAGTCTCAGTTCTTATTTGCAGCGCGGACGTGTCGGCTGCTGGGGTTCAGATGTTATTAATCTTGCTCAAATATTTCAGAACGTACTGAGCAGAAGCCGAGAAGGCTGCGCCCCCGACCAGATCACTGTAACACCGAGCTCTGTCTACCTGAGCCGCGAGCTCAGCTCTCTGTTCGGTAGCTCTGAGCTGATGACATCATTTGGGAAACCGGAGGCCGAAGCTTTCCACAGATTGGAGAAAAAAAAGAGCAAAAAAAGGAAAGAAAAGGGGGGTAAAGTTTTCCAGCAGCAGCAGCGGCAGCAGCAGCGGCAGCAGCAGCATGTGTGTGTTATTACCATTTTTGGGCAGCAGGCTCGGTCCCGCGAAGGCCGGCCCTTAACCGCAGCGTGCTTTTCCTTTTCTCCCTCCCATCTACTTTTCAAAGAAGGAGGGGTGGAAGTGTGGGAGCGAATTTTTGAGCCCTTCCATTACTCCCAAATACTTTCTGTAGGCCTCTCGGTCTGCTGACGGACCGCCGAACCTCACATCTCCAAGAACGGTAACTTTACAGGAGAGGGAGAAACTTCAGAAGCTTTGAATGGAAGTTAATGGAGCGACAGTTTTTTTTCTGGGGAATTTTGGAGTGTTTCTATTGGTCCGTTTGTCAAGAAATTTTAATGCATTGTAAAGGCCGGCGGACACTTTCATATTCTGCAAAAAAAATAAAAACCAACAAAAACAAAGAGACGCTTCTTATATATAAATCTGCACATATCACTGATTTTTATACTGCACCTACATGTTTATTATAGGTGACCACAAAATTTAATGCACATATGAAGAGTTTCATTCCAAAATGCTGTAAATCTGCGTATCAATTTTAAATATAACAAATTTTTGAAAAGAACGACAGCTGATGTCATAAGAAAACACTTTTATTTCTTGAAAAGTACTTATAACAGTTCTGTTGTGGAACGAAACTCTTCACAAATCCCATTTCAAATGCGACTGTAGACTCTATTCCCTTCACATCTACTGTTTATTGCATATTTCAGTGCTCCTCCTGGCATCGACACCTAAAAAAGTTCTTTGTACATCTCGTTCTTGGCAAATAAAGCTTATGATTTTGATTCTGATTCATGTTTTTTTCCCCCCGGATCACCAGCCTGCACACTGCAGTTTCTCAATCGTGCTTCTGGAGAACTTCATCCGCCCATACTTCAGAGTTTTCCTGCTCTAACATGCCCTCTATATCCTCGTGAGGGCTTCGGGAATGTTCAATCAGGTGTGCTGGAGCAGAAAAACTCTAAAACATGCAGGACAGCAGACGTTCCATGTCATAACCTGATTATAAGTCGCAGAGTGGCCGAAGGGACGGAACAGAGAGTGCGTCGCCGCCATCTGTTGCACAGTCACCGCTCGGTGGCCCGGGCGAAGCGGGAAGTGATGCTTGAACGAGCATAATGACACAGAGAAAAGGCTCTCAGCTACAGCGGAGCATGCAGTGCGCTCCGTCTGAGCGCAGGGCCTGCGCTGCATGCTGGAACCTGCAGAACATTCACTGAACACAAACCACCTACTCACGTTAGTGAGCACTACTACAAGTCTGGACCCAGCAGCGTGAGCCACTGCTGCACTCGTACACCAAAACACACTGCCCTACAGCACAGCATGCAGAGAACGCCACGGGCTCTGGAGCTACCACACCCTACTGTACGCCCTTAAGGGTTACCACACACCCCCTGACCCCATTTGACACCTAGTCCCATCCACTTCAGGGCTATTACCCTGTCCCCTTTATAGGGTCACTAGTCACCCATTATGGCTACTACATGTTCCTATTTAGGACTTTTAGGGACCCTACTCCGCATTACAGCTAACATCCTCTTTTTTAGGGCTGCCCATCTCTCCCTTCTTTAGGCCTCAATCCCCATCACTTAGAGCTAAACACCCCCTGCTTAGGCCCCCATCACCTTAATGGGATCTCTAACCTGTGCACCCTCTTTCTAGACCTGCTACCTCCCTCATTAGGAAATTACCCCATCTCTCCCTCACTTCCTAGGGCTCCTACCCCTGTTCTAGAGCCAATATTCCAAATAGGCTGCCTTTTTTAGGGCTACCAAATCCCTCATTAGAGACATCAGCCCCCTTTTAAGGGCTAACAGCCCATCTCTCCCTCTTTAGGGACACTCCTCCCCTTCCAAGGGCTCCTACCCTCTTTCTTGAGCCAATATTCCCTATTAGGGCCATTACCCCTCCTCTAAAACTCACTTTTTAGGGCTATTTAGGGACACTACTCATTTTCTATGCTACAGCCTAACATTTTTGCCTACTTACCTCTGTTTAGAACCACTATTCCCACAATTAGGGCTGCTTCTCACCTTCTGTACCCACTCTGGGAATACCACCTTCATTCTATTGGAACTACCCCCTTTTTAAGTGACACTAATCCTTCTCTATACTGCTCACTTTTTAAGTCTAGGACACCCTTTCTTACCTCATTTAGGGCTACTAGTCTGTCTTTAGGACCACTATTCCCTTATTTAGGGCCAATAGCTTTCATTTATTTACTTTCTCTCCTTTAGACTACCACCCCTCTTATTAGGACCTCCGTTCTAAGGGCACTGCCCCCCTTCTTAGGGGCCAATATGCTAGTATCTAACTTTTTAGGGTTACTATAGCCTTTCTTCCCTTCTTTAGAGCTACTAACCTCTATTTAGGACCCTTATTTAGGGCTTATACCCCCTCTTATTCAGGCCTAACCCCCTTTTGGACTACTACCCCTCTTAATAGAACTACCACCTCCGTTCTAGGGACACTACCCCCTATTTAAGGGCCACTATTCCTCTCCATGCTAATACCTAACTTTTTAAGACTACAACATCCTTTCTTCCCTTCTACAGAGCTACTAGTCTGTCTTTAGGACCACTATTCCTTTATTTAGGGCCAATACCTCGCACTTATTCACTCCCCACACCTTTCAGAGTATCATCACTCTTATTAGGGGTACCACCTCCGTTTTAAGGGCACTATCCTCCTTCCTAGGTCTACTGCATCCTTTCTTTCCTTCTTTAGAGCTACTAACCTCTATTTAGGACCCTTACTTAGGGCTTTTACCCCCTCTTATTCAGACTACTACCCCTCTTAAAAGGGCTACCACCTTCATTCTAGCCCCCCTTCCTAGGGCTCCCCCTTCCTTAGGGTTATGTGCTACTACCCACCTATTAGAGCAACTGACTCCTGTTCAGAGGCTACTGTTCCACTGCCAAGTCCACCCAAGCCCCCACTTTAGAGCTAATGCGCCCCCCTCCCTCCCTCCCCTCACATCACCCCCCCCACACCCTTCTTAAGCTGCTCTCCTACCTTCCTCTGCTGTTTCTCCCAGGCTGGGTCCAGCAGCAGGTCTCTGTCCCAGTCGTCCTCCTGCTGCATGTAATCATTCTCCTCTCCATCATAATGGTGATCCATAGTGACACTCAGCGCTGCTGCTGCTGCAAACTCGACACTCAGAACTCGCCCGGGTGGAAATAAACACGCCGCTGCTTCTCTACTGCCTCGCCCTGCCTCTCTCTACCTCTCCCTTTTCTTCCTCTTCTCTTTCTCTCTCCTCCTTCTCTTTCCTGCTCTCTCTCTCCTCTCTCTCTTTCCTCTTTTCTGTCTGCCTTACTGCGAGTAGGCAGAACCTCCAGCGCGAGCAACTGGGGGCAGAAACTTCGCAGTAATGGGAGGGGAGGAGGGGAAGTGGGGGTGGGAGGGGTGACGAGGCATGACATCTGATTGGCTGATAATCACGTGCCTCTCAAGCCCGGCCTCCTTTTGCAGCAGGGTTGGCCGCTATTGGATGACGCAGGTGTCAGTCCGCGAGCCTGTTGCGCTGTAGGCTGAGCAGCTCGGTATGTGCGCGCGCGCAGGTTTGCGCAGGGGTTAAGAAATCTGCAGTAATTACATTACGTGAGTCTCTCCCGGAGAGTCGATTCTTTAGGATTCTTTCGCGAGAAAGAGTCGATTCCTTCGGCTCTGAGCACCTTTTGGCTGCTTCTTGCTTTCCTGTAAGGAGATCAGAAGGTTTATGCGCATGTTTTCCTCCTGCATTTTCACTTAGTCCGCTTATTCGAGCATCTTTAGAAAGATATATTAGTTTTAATCCAGTTTTAATTGAACAATATGGAGAAAATTACTGCGCTCGAGAGCTGAACAGCAAGCAGGAGTCGAGCATCAAGAGCTTTATCATCACATACCTATTCAGCTATGGTATAATGGAACAGAATTCAGTTTGGCCCATGCTTAAGAAAGACGGCACTTCAAGGGTTCTTTAGTAAAGAAAATGGTTCTATATAGAACCGTGTAGGCTCAAAAAATTCCTTGCATGATTAAAGGGTTCTTCAGATTGATGGAGAATGTGCTGTATGTGGTTCTATATGTCATCTTTTTGAAAAACACCAAAACAACAGAAAATCTCTTTTTAATGCCATATAGAACCAAATACAGCACATTCTCTATAGAACCATTTTCTTTACACACTTTAAAAGATGGTTTTTCAAGGGTTCTTTAGAAAAGAAAATGGTTCTATATGGAACTATGAGCACACAAAAAACCCTCTGCATGATAAAAGTGTTCTTCAGATTTATGGGAAATGTATTGGATAGGGTTCTATATAGCACCAAAAATAGTTCTTTTATTTACACAAGCTCTACATCGTACGCAACGGCGGAACCCTTTTTGGTGCTATATAGAACCATATTTAACACATTCTCCATCAATCTGAAGAACCATTTCACCATGCAAAGAACCACTTAACCATGGACAAGGGATCTTTGAGTGTTCATGGTTCTATATGGAACCTTTACAGGAGCAGACAGTGATTTTACAATCTAATAAATACTTTATTGTACAGCAACATTGCACAATAAGAAGGACATTAATGTGTTATAAAGAGTCAAATACGTAGCCTTTTTGTTGTTGTTTATGTTATTTATTACATGTTTACACTATCAGTAATGCTGTAATACCTCCGCCTTCGGGGTAGTTAGTTTCAGAATGCATGTCGAGAGTTTGGATGTACCTGTATGATAATCTTAAAGATGATGTCTTTAAATATATGAGATTAGTAAAAATAAGGGAGCACTGTAATGAGTCCAGGCGTTTGTGCGCTTTAAATGGTCTGACAGTGTTGTGTTACTGTGTGCTCTTTTACCTTTTTAGGTGTGTCGCTGCGCACCTGTTGGCCACGCCCACCCACAGCCTTTATCTCACTGCTGTCTGTCCACTATCAGTTACATGGTGAAGGTAAAACTTTAAAGGACATGTCTGACAAGTAAAGCATAAGAGTGTATAGTTAGTTACCAAACATCCCCTACTGACCAGCACAACTCCACAGTTAGTTTTTGTTTTAGTTTGGTTTATATGCATGTTTTTTATGGATGTTTTTATGTTTTTTAGGGTTCTATATAGCACCAAAAAGATTCTTCTATTGTTACAAGCTTGACAACATAACAATAGCAGAACCCTTTTAGATGCTATATAGAACCACATGCAACACATTCTCCATCAATCCAAAGAACAACTTCACCATGCAGAGGACTAAGCATGCAAATAGTTCTTTGAGTGTTCATGGTTCTAGGACCACTGTCTTCACTAAAGAGCCCTTAAAGAGCCATCTTTTTATAGGGTGTACTCTTATCAAATACCTGCTATCAGAGCATTCATTAAAACACTAAAAACTAAAACTAACACTGAAACTAAACTAAAACTACTAAAGCACCCTCAAAAGTGACTGAAACTGAACTAAAACTTCTAATCCACCATTAAAGCCAACTGAAACTAAATTAAAGCTACTAGAGTACTCTTAAAACTGTCTGAAAAT